TAAAATTAAGAATATATTTTGTAGATATAGCCTATCATTAATTAACTAAATTTATTTTTGAAGAAATAAATCAAATAGAAGAAATTAGATTTAGAAATAAAGAAATTCAATCAAATTCGAAATTTCATAGATAAAATAATTAAATAAGAAATATTTTATATGGATGATATAAGATTTCAATCATTTCTTATAAATATCAGTTTCTAGAAAATTCTTCGAAGATTTATATTTCATAAATTTAGTTTTTTGAAAAATAAATCGCAAAATCAAATAAAGAAGCTCATCAATATATTAAAACTTCAGTGCGAATATTTTTCAATAAATAATATTATAATATTCAAATTAATATAGTAATTATAATTATAGAAATAAAAATTCATAATTGTAGCTAATTATTCTAAAATATAATTTTTAATATTTAAATTAATTGATTCATATATAATATATTTTTATTATCATAATAATTCCTTCTATATATTCCACAATATATAATCATTATTAAATTCTAATATATGGGTATTTCCACCAATCAGGCGTCCAAACAGGAATGTTGGGATGGGGGGTATATTTCGGGGTAGTATGATTCGAGGTATGCTTCGGGGCATGCTTCGCGACCATATTTAGGGAGAATCCAATTCTACTATAAGCCATTATCACAATCATAGATTAGTTGAAATATAATCATGCGTTCTATTAAGCGATATTCTTTTCTTTTCGGGTTCGGGGGTCGGGGCTCGGGCTTTCAATCTTTGGGATATAAACCGATAACGGAATACGAAGATCCTTGTAAGATATCTTCCTTCAGCTGCTAGAGCTACGTACCCCGGCAAAATTTGGGGTATGCTTCGGGCATGAATCAGGCATGCTTCGCGGGCCATCTATTTCAAGAATGGTGACTTTCATCTTTGGTTTCGCGAGGACTTCCAAGGCCAGGAGTAGTGGTAGTAGTAGTGGCGGTAGTAATTGCGCTGATAATAGCCATCGTTATCGTTATTATAATCATTATCATGATTTAATCATTATCCGATCCTGTAATCTAGACAGCTATGTATAGAAATTGACAACCACCAAGAATAGTTGTAGCATGGCAGACTTTTTGGGGTATATTTCGGAAGTATGTTTCAAGATATAATTCGGAGTATGCTTCGAGGTATATTTCGCCCAGGATCCAATATCCCTCCTATAGAAAGCTTCGAAACTCTCATTTTTAGAAAGACCCATACATAATTAACTATATTTCATCAATACAACCCTCACAAAAAATTCAATTTTTTTAAAAAATGAATAAATATTCAAGATTTAATTTCAAAATAATTATTAAGAAATCAGAAATAAAGAATATTAATGAACATATTTAATTTTCATATTATAACCATATAATCAATATTTTTTGCTTTTTATTTTATATAATAGTATATCTATTTCTCTTGAAATCTAGAATAAATTTTGAATATAAAATATTCAAATATATATATATATATATTATTTCGATCGAATATCAAAAATAATAATTTTTTCGATAATATTTTCGATAGTATCCCTAATCAATAATATAATATTTAAAAAATTCTTCATTATATAATTGAAAAATATAGAATTCTAACCACTATATAAGAATATATACTCTAATCAATATAATTTTATATATATCTTATATATATATATATTTATATCGAATTTTCAAGTTATAATTATAAATAATTTCTTATTTCTTATATATATATATCACCATATGAAAATATTGAAATATATATAATTTCTGAATAAAATTATTCAATGATAGTTTGTCTAAAGAGCGTATGATTAATAATTCTCCGAAAATAGAAAAATATATGTGCAATATCACATGGGGAAAATGATAACAATTTTATTTGGATTCTTATTAATAATATATGTGGGTATTGGATATTTTCTTCGATTATATCTATTTTTTTTGTAGTCTTCACATTGTGGCACAAAGCATTGGGCACTCAGGCGCGCAAATGTACTGCTCCACACGTGACCGTCGAGCAATTCGGCCATCCGCAAGCATCGTGTCTCTGAATGTGCCTCAGCTGCTTCAGTTGCTTCGACGCACGGCAACGACATCAAGGGGGCAACGTGCCCCTCCCGGCCGAGCTGCGGAACGAAACGAAGCCTTCGCCGTCAAACGGCACTTCGTCAAATATTTCTTCCATGTCGTCTCCATCACACCTTGGTTATTTGCAGTACAGCGTGTCAATGGGGGGCTTCGTGAACCCTTCCTATCTGCGGTTGTACTTTCATGAAAATTTCCTAGCTCAAGTCGAGCAAATCTCTCCGCTAAAATTGCTCGGAGCGCCCGGGTGGACTCCCCATGTCAGTGCTCGAGAAAATCAAACTTTCCGAAGCTTTACATGTACGTGGCACTACACTGAGTCCAGAGTCTTTTGAAGCCATCAGCAAGCTGAGTATCGTTATCAACCACACAGATTACAGTGTTCTTTTCGGCGGTTTCCAACTTAGACAATCCTCAACCTGGTTTGCCGTGCCGGGCTGGCTGAGCACTTGGGCATCGTCCTCTCCATTGGCCAGAAGCCCATGTGAAATGCATCCAAGCTTCTCGACTGCGCTGCTGCTCCTTAGAAATCTGCTTTTCCCAACATCAGCTTCTGGAAAAGGCTTGTTCACAAAGATCGTGCCTTTGTTGTTACAGACTCGTCGCTGACACATACCGCGGACAAATCACATGGTGCTGCCCGAGCGTCAACAACTGCCGAACCTGACCTGTCGAAAGACGCCCTTGGCTGTCTGTGTCCAACTCCTGGAACAAGTCCTGCCATTTCCGCTGGAGATTCCATCGGCGGCCAGCTCTACATTTACAGAAGTATGGGCCAGGGGCACTCGCAAAGATGTAACCTAGGTCCAGCAGACCGCCACCTGCAAAACAACTTCAGGCCCGAGAAGCAAACCCGCCTGAAGAAACTGCACAGTGTAGCGCTCTTTTATCTTGAGGATCTCTTTGGCCACGGACAGGTACTCAACCTGCAGGTGATCCCGACGACAGGATTGAGAGCGAGCAGTTCTGTGAGACATTTCCTGCACCCTTTCTCCCGTGCAGAAAGAGAATCAACAATGTATGCTTTCTTTCAGAAGGTAACGGCCTCAGCACGTTGACAGATATTGAATGTGCTTCTATGGCCTCCTGGGGAAGACATTGCATGTTTCGGTGCAGGAAAGCTACCCCGCAGGCTAATTACTCGCAGCTGGCCTCATCGTTGGCATCTGCCTCACAACTGTCAAGACCAAAACATTCAGCAGCTTGGTCCATGCATGCTCACGCGAGTCAGACACCTCGGACCAAGAACTGTACGACTTAAAAAGCTTCTGGCATGCAGAAGTTTTAAGCAGTGTTGCCCACCGTTCTCATTGCAACATGCNNACAAATAAGCTTTGGCTCTAACGCATTCCAGATATCCCTCGCACATACAAGCTTACTGTTATCTTGCCATGGCACCGCGTGCTCCGCATACGCGTGCGCCCTGCCTGGCGCAAGTTCGGATCATAAGCAAGGCACCTGTGTCCTTTCCCCTCAGCGGCAGCTACACGATACAGTGGCAGGGTGGCAGTGCCGACTCAAGTGACTGCAAGGAAGCATTGTTCGGCTTTCGATCAATTCGATCAAAGTACCAGGGACAAAAGCTTCGCCTGCGCAAAGCCTTGAGCCCGTCTTCGCACATATAAAGCTAGGCATGGCACAACTCCACCAGCACTGAAGCAAAAACGTAAGCCCTCCTCAACTCCAAAAAACAACCAACGATCATCAGGTATTCGCGAGGGTTCTGCCGGATCCTAACCGGAAGAACGAAAGAGCACACCAAGCAAAAAGACCAGTGCACTCACCGGACTCCAGGTCCGTTCCCACGAAGGCACTATCAAGCACTTCAGCCACTCTACCAAAATGCCGTCTTCGACAGGCCAGTACAAGTCAGTGCAGGCCCCATCCGTGTCCAGCCTGCCCTCACATTATGTCTCGCGAAGAGTGGAAGTGCAACCTCCTTGGGTACCTGGAGCCCGGAGCTGTGGCATCAACAGTCATGCAATCCCTTCTGTGGCTCTCCGCCATCGTCTGCTGGCTGCCTGTCACCATAAGACCCGGGCTTTGCCCCGGTTGTTGCCGTCCATCTCCTGGAGTTCCGCGTACAGGCTGCGAAGCTCCTGGGTCGCAGGCTTTGCTCTCTTCGTCCCCACCACGCAAAGCTCTTTGCTATGCGCAGTGCATAGAGACATCGATCACAAGGAAACAACAGCTGTCAGCAGCCGCGCATGGACAGGCCAGCACGTGCCTTCAAGTTGTTCTTGAAGGCCAGTTCATACACAACCTTCGGGAGATGTCGCGGATGGCCCGTTGTATCGTTTTTTGACATCGGCAAACATCGAATGCGGACGGCCGAGCATGGTAAGACTGTACTTCGTTAACGCGCCAGGAATTTAGGGTTTAGGGGTGAGTAGGTCACTGGATCCTGCATTCGAATTTTGAGAAGCTTAACTGGGTCAAACAGCACATACCGTGCGACATCCACGGCTGCAAACGTGCCTGCTCACGCAAGCATTCTGCTGCAGAGCTTCCTGCATCGGGCTCTATTGGTTCGTGATGGCCGAGTTCGGAGGTCGACACGTCTTACACAACTTGATCTCAGCAGTCACTTGCTGGGCCATGCCAAACCCAGCACTTCATGCAAACCGCCACTAACGACCAAAAATAGAGCTAATCACAGTCGAGTAAGTCTAGTACTGATACGATATCATACGGTTCATCTCAGCAGCACCGTCATAAGCACAGTTCCGAGCCTACAAGAGCTGATATCGTCTCAGCTGGAAGGCCCTCATCACTGTCTGACGTTGTAAACCTTGCTGCCGACTGCCGCGACCATGAGCAGCAAGTCAGCTGGTGCACTCGTCTACGTACCAGCGAAGAAGGCAGCTGAGTTCGGTACCAAGCGTGGTTCAACGCAGCTGTTGCGCTTGGTCTGCACGTCATGTCCCTAGCGTCGGAATCGGCAAGATGGTTTCGGGAGTGCAACACATCATCGCGCGGATCTTGCTAATTCCTTTTAAAGCATGCGAACAAAAGGGCTGGGCGGGTGCCTGTGAACCATGCCAGCCACAAGCTCCTCCAGCTCTCGCATGCTTGATGGGAAGCGTTTCCAAGGCAGCTGCAGCGCCTCGAGCTGAGTGTATAGCCGGCGCGTAATGCTCGTACCATCACTGCTTTGTAGGGATAACTGTGCAGCTCGAGTATGCTGGAGTACTAGGTGATTCCCATGCATATACAGCGGTTAAACAGAGAGAGCGGAAAGAACATTTGCAGCCAAGCCGCCAGTCCGGCGGCCTTGTCCTGAAGGTTCCAGCTTGGCATCTTTCGTTTCACAGAGGTCAGCATGCAGAAGAAAGCTGACATGTAGTGACATTGCAAGGCTGCGTGCAACAGGACATGATGGCTCCTCCTCTCGCTCACCTTCGGTTTGCAAGACACCTAGAACGTCGTCGTTTGGGACCTGACACATGCCGGAGATGAAGAGATGCTGGAAACCGGCAAGGCACAGCAGTATCTGCCATGTAAGCAAGGGGTCAACCTTCCAACTTTAAATGCTGGGTTTGACAACTCTTCTAGGCACTGTCGGCCTGCCCAATCATCATCTGGAAAATGGTAATGCCCAAGCTGAAGATGTCCCCACCTGGCAAGAATTCGTTTAGGCCCAGTGACAACAGCCACGATTCCACTGCAAAGTGAAATCCAGCTTTGGTGTTCCGTTTGAATCTGAAGGCAAGACACCTTTTCCCTAAAGCCGCGACATAGGGCTTGTGTCCCGTCGATAAACTCTATCACAAACGCGAGCAACTTGTGCCATCTCTCTCACCTCGTGGACGCGCAAAACATCCACCTTACCAGCAATTGAGATTGCTGTCACGGCTGCATTGCCGAAGGTCCGCTTCTTGGCATCGGGCTCCTCCAGGATGGTGCCCAGGAAGCGCTTCCGGGACGCACCAACAAGGATAGGCGAGGGTCGCATGTTTGCTACCAAGCCCGCGCAGTCTTGGAGCAAGGATATGTTGTGCTCTAAGTTCTTTGCAAACCCAATGCCGGGATCGAGGATAATGTTCCAGCTTGGCACGCCTGCGGCCTCGGCTGCATTGCGACGAGCGACGAGATGGGTAGTAACCTCCTCGACAACATTCGAGTATTTCGCCATGGAATTCATAGTGTCTGGAGTGCCTTTCATGTGCATCAGGACGATGGGGGCCAGCATGACTGCAGCCACGGTGAACATTTCGGAATCAAACTCTCCGGCAGACACATCGTTGATCCAATCAGCGCCGGCCTGGACGGCAGCCTTGGCCACTGCAGCCTTGCGCCTGAGACACTCAACACAGCGAGTCCCCAGGGCCTGCCTCTCAAATTTACGTCACAGCCTCTGTTTGGGGCTATGCTAGATTTGAGCGAGCATAATGCCAACCAAAGCACGTGTCAATGCTAACAGTCGCGTCGATGCCTGCTTTTCGAATGCCTCAAAGAAGAAGCACAACACACAAACATATAAGACACACATCACCATTCGGCAGAAGCCACAGCTTCCCATCATGTTTTGTGCATGCATAGCGTTGCTTTTTAGAAGCTGTTACACGTAGTTGGTATACCAAGCAATAATGGCCTTCAATCACCGGCACTACTCTGCGGATCTCCTCCTCCACGGAAACTTCAGCCGCTCCAGGACGAGTGGACTCGCCGCCGATGTCCAGGATCTGTGCGCCTGCGGAGACCATCTCTACAGCAGCGCGAACGGCGTTTGCAGGGTCCAGGTGGTCTCCGCCGTCACTGAAGGAGTCGGGTGTGATGTTCAAGATTCCCATGATCAATGTCTGCTCGCCGCGCCTCCAAAGCTGACCCACTCCCATTCCGTACAAGCCACCAGCACCAGGCAGCATTTGCACAGGCCAAGCCTCGAGGCTGGCGCCATCTGGGGAAGTGCCCGATCCGGACTTCAAGCGCTCTACTAGCTGAGACACGCTCGGCTCACCAGACAGGGCAGGATGGCGCCAATCCGGCCGTAGGTCACCTAAAGGGACAAGGACAAAATCTCGTTCGTGCATGAGAGCATGAGGGACCTGCAAGGGGTACTTGCCCTCTTGGATGTTGACAGTCTGTCGGCCAACTGCGATGATATCCAGGTCGATCACACGGGGGCCTCTTCGAATCCCAGGTGTGCGGCCAAGCTCCTCTTCTATCTGCTTCAAGTCTAGCAACAACTCCGGGATATTGGAGAGCCGAGTATCAGACAGTTCCAACTCTACGACGGCGTTCAGGAAGGCCGGTTGGTCACTGACATACTGTGCCTTTGTAGAATACAAACTGGAGGTCCTCCGCAAGCTCAGACCGCGGAGTCCTTTCAGGGCTTGCACTGCTCGGCTCAAGTGCCGGAGTTTGTCGTCCATGTTGCTACCCAGGGCAATATAGCAGAACTTGCTGTCATCGTGGGCCATCCTCAGGAAAGCCGCTTCAAAATTGTGGCGAAAGCCGGTTCGAGCCAAAAGCGCTCCGAGACGGGGCGCCATCGTCTTTCGACTGCGGTTTTCTGTGCAGAGGAATAATCATAGAAGCGAACACTCGAAATTGAACAGTGTCTTGTGGTCTATCGGCCCACAAAACCCAACAAGACAGAGCAAGTCCAAGCCGGGGACGAGGATACCACCACGAGGTCGTCCACGTCTCTGGGGGTATATATCCTGGCTCTGAGCTTGACGCCGTGTCGGCTTCTGCACAGAGCTCGAAAGCCGGAACAGATTCCCATCTGTGGCCTGGTGTCCCAGCACAGCCGTCGGGCGCCGAGGAGAATGCAATCGCAAGGCCGAAGTCAATCAGCACGATGCGGGGATACTGACATGTCAAAGGAGCCCGCGGGCAACAGTTTGTTGCCAGGAGCGGCTAACTGCATTGGGGATTGGACATAATCTTGCTAAGAGTATGACAGGTAAACTGCTGACACATGTCACAGCACGTCTTCAGACTCATTCGCGCTGCTTCAGGAGGGAATGCAGGCATCGGTAACTAACGGTGCGTCGAAGAGGTGGCAGGCACGGCGTCCTCTAGATCAGATGCCACCACCATGATGTTCTCCTCCTGCGGTGGTACAGCGTGGCATTGCATCATGGCCTTGCCCGTGGACCTTGCGCCCTCACTATGGATTCAACCATGCTGTTGTCTACATGCGGGCATAGACAAGCTTCAAGCACCTCAACTCCTCATAGCTCTTCCACAACCATTATACGAAAAACATGTTTCCACCCATTCCAGCTTTCGGCCGTGTCTGTTGGCATGGAAACCTGCCAGTATGATAAAGGACACTCAAGTCACGATGAAGGTGGGCACGGCACGTGATAGTGCAGCCCACAAAACTCAAAGAGCCGCAAGAAAGGAACTGCTTGGATGTGAAAAATGAAGAGTAAGGCTGCGCCTGGCCCCCTTGAGTTCAGCAGTTCAGCAAGATGATGCCACTGCAAGTGTATCCCCTAAACCGTTCGTCACGACCAACTAGAAATAATGACGATCATAGCTGCTGTCATAGCTCATCAGGAAAACACGATTGATCTGGGTTTCGGATGTTTCGGCATCTCCGGCGGGGGAGTCACGACAGTGGGCTTTGAGGCTGAAAGGCTTAGGTATGTCGGGCTCAGGGCTTTCAGGAAAGAGCCCAAACATCTGTTGAGGAGGGCTCGTGCTGCAACAAAACATCATACTGCTGCAATGGCCCACGTAGCTGCAGGGCTTGTCACAGCCATGGGCCAAGCACAGAGGTAGCAGCAACAAGTCGCAGCTTCGTCGTCGAATCAACATCGTTCGTGCAATGTTTGACGCAAGGCTTTTCTGCATTTGCCCTGCAGGTCTCGTTTTACTTTGACTCTCTGAATGGCAACTTTTCATGCATCTTCCAGCCATGAAATTCCCGACTGTGCCTGCTAGATATGACTGGCCTCAACATCCAACGATACAAGTGCAGTCCTTAATGTCGCAATGCATGACTGCTTGGCTGTGAAGAAACTGCAGGCCTGGCCAAGGGCGTCATGGCTGCGACCAAACTGAGTGCTGGCAAAGATCAGCAGGGGTATTGTTGACATGCCACAAGGAAGCTGTTTATGAGTGGTTGGCAACCGTGATTGGTCCAATGCGCCTGTGTGCTGTTTCGGACGTCTGCATACTTTGTCGCCGAAAAAGTTGACCAAAGGAAGCGTTACACTGGCTTGCCTGCATCGCAACCCGCCGAGGTGGAATGCAATTGTTTTCCTTCATATATGAAACAAGGGATACGAAGAAATTGGAACATGAAGGAAGATGCAAGCCATAATTAATGAGTTGTGGACATATCTGCATGCATGTGGGTACTTCTCGAACCCGGGATGGCTTTTGGACGCCCACAAGTAGCCGTCTCTCATTTTTTCGAATGTAATCAGCCAGGCAACAGTGTGACCTATGCAGGACAACGCGGAAGTCAATGGCCTTCGAGGCACTGCCGAAAGATGCCTCTGAACCAGTTCTCACCTCAGAAGCAGTCGGTGAGTTTTGACAAACAAGAAAAGCGAGCCAGTACCTGAGACATGTGAACCCAAAATAAGAGTGCAGGAGAGCGTCTTAAAAGTTTATACGTCCGTCGGTATTTCGTTCATACGCTGTTGTCTTCATGGTTTTTCAGCAGAACTTTTGCAGTTGATGGACTTCAATACCCCTTTTGCAACTTCTGCACTGCCTGCAGCCCAGGTGCCCATCCAAACAGACTGATCGTGAGCCCGTTTTGCAACCTTCGTCAAGTCTCCCCCGAAGTAGGGCTCCTTCAGTTTGCCGGCAGAAATGAAACGAGAGCCATGACAAGAGCTGCGTCACAACGTCCGATAACACTCCCGCAGTTACTTACCCCGACTTCTTCCGATATAAGCTTGGTTTTGCCAAGGCTCGTTCACCAGATAAAAGAATTTGCTGTCCTGGAAGACCTGCTTCTGGCCAACTGCCGCGGCTTGCGTGCAACAGGGTGCAAATTCGAGATCACCGGCTGCACTACTGTCAACATGCGGCAGTCGAAGATTCAGCTCTGAAAACACATGACATAACTGGTCCAGTAGAATGCGCTGCGTCTGGTAACTATGTGCTCTCGCGATATGTCGCCTCGTACGTCTTCGCGATGTTCGGGTGACCTTGCATCGCTGATGGCGTGCCAGTGCTGTAGCACTCCATAGAACTGTTGAACAAGGCTTCCTGTTTGGCGGAAGGCTTCAAAACTGCTGCAAGGCCCGTAATTGCGCTGGCTTTGTCAGAGAACATCAGCCACATGTCGCCCATGTTCTGGCAGGATGAGAACCGTCTTGTTGGAAGCGATTGAGCTGCTCGCTCAATTCTGTCATCAAGGCATACTCAGTCATGATTGTCTCCAGCTCATCCTGGTCACCGTCCTCGCAAGCAGCCAAGCCAGAGCTTGCCAGCGGTGCAACTGCTGATGCCACTGCTTGGCACGGACAAGATATGGATCTAAATCTGCTCGAATGGCAGGTGAACAAGATGCAAGCCTCCTTGCTGTAAAACTTGACGCAATACCTTGGTGTCTTTAACCAACCAGCAACGGCTGAAAAATACACGTCGTGCATGCTCGGTTGGCGCGGAACTGTCACGAAGGGTTCTAGCTTTCAGCAACGCGGTGCTAATGTTCTCTCATGATCAGTCTGTAGTCCCGCCAGGCACACGGTCGGTCGACTCAGGAAACAAATTTTAAATTCCCTGAACACATACATATTCGGATTGCGTCGCGGCGGTGGTGGTGGTGGTGGTAGGAGCAGCTGCATGAGCAGCGGAAGAGTAGCAGCAGCAGCAGTGCTGGCATTAGTATCGGTGTCAGTATGAGTGAGTATACGTATAAGATCGTATAAGTATCAGCACAAGCAAGAGTAGTCGGATGAATACTGGTTCGTATCAGTACTGTAACTGGTACTTGTGTTTTTCAGTATCAGTATACGGATTCGTATCTCAATCTAACAGTTCAGTGCGGGGATACGAGAATCGCTAAGAAATTCCAAACTGTCGAGCGCTTGACGCACTTGAACCTGGCTTGAACGTGCCACTGCGTTTTACCCCACTTGACCCGCTTGATGCACTTCACCAGCTTGGGCCACTTGAACCCTACACCCTATAAGACCTAAATCCGAAACCAAGTGTGCCAAGTGTGTGAAGTGGTAAGCCCGTTGACAACGGTTTGCGCTATGCACCTTGTCAAATGTGCAGTTCGATCTAAGCGGTTCCCGAATCCAAGGCCAATGTATCATTTTTCATACCCACGAATAAACATCGCAACAGCAACGATTAGTAGAAGTAGTGGTACTGGTAAGAGTAGCAGCAGTAAGCCGATCACTCGCGTTCTCATGTTGGACAAGCTTCATGCAATCTCTGCCAGACTTCGGGGGCCCTAAATGACTCGCAAGGACGTGTCCTGCGACAATGATTTCGGGGGTTCTACACCAGTCGCGTCTTAAACCACTGATCTCAGCAGCCTTCGAAGTTAAAAAGCTTTACAGGTTCGATGATGTGGCAGGTTCCAAAGCCAAGGTACCGCTCCGAATCCCCAAACGTACAGAGGTACATGACGCCTTGGCCACCTGAGCCAGTATGCTGTTGCCCATCACTTCTCATGTACTATCGCATAACGACACCAAGCATTCACTTCAAAGCTGGCCGGATCGAAATTGTTCAGCTGAGATGCCGCGGCCAAGCTCCTCACACAAAGGGCCCGTGCATCGGGGAGCCGGAATACAAAGAATGCTCAACGGCCACGTAATAATAATAATAATAATAATAATATATATATATATATATAAAACCATAACAGCCATCATCATTACTATTATTAGGAATAATTAACTACGTAAAACATAATGGCAACATGCTTAACTTGTGACGGAACAGGCTGCAGTGCTCAAATGCCGAACAAAAGTTCCGGACAAATAAGCGGACTGTTTGATGCCCGTCCCGGTCAACCGTGTAGCCGGCTTCGCGCAACCCCCTATAGGGCACGTCGCCGGCCAGCTTCGTGCCACCCCACTCCTGCAAGCCGCGGAAGAGCTGAACTTCACTCATAGCACGGTGGGAAATCATTGCTGGCACAAACCCCGGAAGATGCAAGTCCTTTCTTTTCTGCCTGAGGATGGTCCTGCATTCAGTCGTTGGACTGGACTGTTTGACGGCTGAACGTCGACTTCGGAAACTGAAACAGGAGGCAAACACGACTGCACGTCGGCGAGATCTATCAGAATCATCAGTCGATCGGTGCTTCAGTGCTTGTTTCCGTTTTACATGCATTCAGCAAGCACCCTGTCAGCCAGCCTGAACATTGCTGTACACTGCTTCTTGTTCAGCCTCAGTGCTGGCAGTGTTTCAGACTAGCTACAAGGCCAAATCTCTCTTTTGTTTGCAGCGGCCCGTTGGTGAGGCACTGCCTCTCTCTTCTTAGATCCCTTGAAGGGTTACAGGGTCACGGTCTGCTTAGATACCAGTCCTTCTGGCCTCACCAGATATCTGGTGTAGTCTACTGGCCATGCAAGTCAGGAAGGCTCAGGTGTAGCAGCGGCCAGTGCTAAAGCCTTGCATGGCAGTTAGGCGCCTGTTTCTGTATTTCTGACATCTTCTATTTTTTCTGCTGCACTGGCCGCACTCCCCATGATCTCATCTCCCTCTTCGCTTGAGAACTTTCTGCGGACTTCTCCTTCTCCTTTGATGTGGCCGAAGCCCCGAGGACGGGCTTGCAAGCACCTCCTGTGAAGAACAAAGCTCAGGGGCATTCCCGCCATCTGGGTCCCATGCTCTGACAATTGGGGAGGCATGCGACCATGCTGAAGAAAAACTCGGCAGAGGAACACGATGCAACATATGACTTGCTTGATGACCCTAGGGCAGCGAAGCCCAGGGAGAATGGTTCATGCGGGCTGCCATCACCGCATCGTACAGTATACCATGCCGCAGCGTACACCCACTCGGCTCTACTTCCCCCAAGGATCGACAAGATGTGCTACCAGTAAGAAATGAAGAAAAGTGCCGCCGGAGCACGCGCCGCCTCCGTCGAAGTCGAAGCGCTGGCAAATCTGATAGACCTACAGCTGCATGGATGAGCCTCGCTTTGGCGTCTCCAAGACTTCTGCTTTCTAGAGCCAATGCCAAACGCGCTCGCTAAGTACCGAGAGTAATGCAAAGCAAGCTCGGGAGTCGCCTGGCTGAATGCTGCCTCTGGGACTTCCAAGTAGCGTGCCACCTGACTCGGCGCATCCGAAGTTAGGCCAGTCTTAGGACATCCTGGGAAACGCCTGCTGCAGTGCAAACGCGTCGTGCCACAGGCTATACCACGCTTCGCCCAAGCATTCCGGATGTCATCTGTTGCTGAAATTAGAGCCTCTAGGCAAGCCCCATGGAATGTGCTGTGGGCTTTCGGGAAGGAGGGCCCTGAAGTGCCCAACCTCCGGTGCCATCTGGACAACCTGCGCCGGTGTGACTGCCTTGCTGCCTGAGCCAGGAACCGTTTCCGGATGGCATGTTCAGGCTGACACGGACAGTGAGTTTCACAAAGGGCCATCCCATCTGCACAAGGAGCGCATGTCAGCAAACAATCCATCGGCAAATGTTCTGAAACAGGCTTCCTAGCTGTGTCGCGGACCGTCACTTGTTACTTTTGCATACTGGCGGAAGTACTTGTGGATGGCATGGTTGGTACGCCTCATTGCTGCCAGCGGCTAGCGCAAGAACAACGGTCAGCAGCAGGGGACATCAAGAGGTCGTGGATTCTAAGGTGCACCGGCTTGGCGGCTTCAAGATAGTTACGAGCCACATGGGCCTGCGATGCTGGATGCTAGCTGGCCATTTCAGACTTTCAGCCTTGTGTGGCAGGGAGCTGAGCCTTCAGATTCTGGTGACTTTAGTGGATCACAACCAGTGGGACGAGCAGCTAGAACCCCGGCGACCTGACCGTTCTCCGGTATTCCAAGCTGGGCTCAAGAAAGGGTCCCGGCAAGTACGACAGCTTTCGCAGGCGCTTGTCGAGCGCCTTCACCTTATGGAATTAACACCAACCCAGTGCAAATCACGGCGCAAGTTGCGAGAAAAGGGCTTTGCAGTTCGTAATGGCGACACTTTTGTGGCAAAGCGAAAACATTTCCCGAGCTTTTGAACCAGGCTCAGTTCTGAGGAACTGGCAGCCAGCTCCTTCTCCCAGGCGGACAGCTCTTCATTGTCCTCGCAAGCTACAGGGAATTTCAAACAACCCGGAAAACGGTTCTTACTCCTTGGTTTCCCGCTGTATATACAGCGTTTCTTACTTGGGGATTGCACTGCCGCAAAAAACTCTTACAAGCCCGAGAAGCCTGTTGCTCCGTTCGATTTTTGCACTCCGGAATACCAGCCGCGATGCCTATGAAGTTCTCAATCATCAACCAGTCAGGCACTGAATGTCGAACCCGGTTTCAAGATAGGTACCTGCAGCCTCACGAGAGAATCGCTTTTCGGGTCCGTCGGCCAAAGCCTCCCTTTCCAGATGTGTCAAGCTCCGTATTTGTGCCGGCACCTAGTTGGCCGGTCCATGAATGGCTGCATGGGGCGAAACAGTGGTGAGAAATCGGAGAGCCGCGAGTCCTGCCCGGCAGATCCTCCGCATGAAATTTTACCATGTTCTCGGAACTTCTTATAAGTACCAGTTGCTGCACCTGTCAAGACACTGAATGGGAAGGGCAACCTCCAATCCGAGTCCTGTTCTTCTGGCAGGGTCCCGTGCAATCGGACCCGGGGCAGTCATGTTTTTCCGTGCAGTGCCAGAACAGTTTGGGCAGTTTGGGCAGCAGGCAGCGCACATCGGTTTCGAGTTTCGAGGTCCTCGGAGTCTTCCTGTGGGCTGCCGTCGCTGTCGCTGCCGGTCTTCTCTTCATCGCTGGTTTCGTAGCCTGCCACTCACTGGCGAAGTTGTGTTGCTCCCCATTGGCTTGGCAACTCTTCTGGGATGCCGGCCGCAAGACAGCATCGAAGCCGGCCGGATAACCAGAAGTCTACAACGCTCTGCTCGGCATCTTAACGCATACCGCAGCGGAGCCAAGCCATAGTTACTGTAGGCATATCGTGCCCGGGAGCCGGTCTGCTGAGATGATTGGCAGGCCCCGATGAACGCGCCAAAAATCAGTGTTTGTCCCGTTCCTGCCTGTGACTGTTCCTGCCTCCTGCCATCTTCATCTGACCCTTGACCCTGATGTCAGGTGAAAGCTGCCGAGCCAAGACAGGTGCGGGAAACTTGACACACCGGGTACACTGCCCGCAGCAAAATTCTCCCTCCAGCCTAACATGCATGACAAGTAACGTCTCAGCAGGAGGACATTGACATGGAATGAACAATCTCATCGAGCGATCCGAAGAGGAAAAACAGGTGCTGGTCTTCCTGGCGAGGCCAGGCCGGCACAGTCCAAACCACTACTATAACTGCACACATCAGAAAGCAACCAGGAACAAATGCATATCCTCAATGAGCATCAACCCGAAGAACTAAGCCCCGCTCAGCCCAAGGGCAGCCACTGCATGCGTTGCACATCTGCTGCATTCTGGTGCCGAAGACCAGGATCAGGAGCTCTGACTGCTAGCTGCTAGAATACTTTAGAGGGTCTGATCATTAACTCAGTAACCTATCTCGCGAACCTTTTTCCAGCGAGGGCAATCGGCTGTCTGGTGCTCGGCTCTCGACACGTCGTCTGACAACACCCGACGAGGATAGCTCCGTGGGACCGGAAGCAAAGGCGGCCTGTCCTACGCAACATGCAAGCGCGAACACGCAGTGCACAATGCACACGACACTTCTTCTAGTGCTCTGCAATGCCAACTACAGCGGGACTCGAGGGCCTAAAACTAAAGAAATCTGCGGCAGCCGCTTTGCAGCCACCGCAGAACACCGCAAGAAGCGCTCTCAGACTTCTTCTGTGACGGCCATGCAGTGATGCTTCGAAGCCTCGGCAGAAAGTCTCGGCTGCATTGTGGAGTTCTGATGTCGGATCAAAAAGGTTGTGCAACTGCACCATCTCAGGTTCCACGTTCAGGGGCAACCCGAATTATTTTGCTGCGGCCTCGTGTGTAGGTGCGCTGGCACTCCCCTGTTGACTCCGTTTCCGTGCCAGTCCTTGACTCTTTTGACTCCTGCTGCCAGATTGTAAGGTGAAACTTCGGACGACACCGTTGCCCCAGGCATCATTTAGCTGGATTCATTCGGCGGCTATGAACTAGCTGCGGATACTGGTTGCAACTGGTCCGGCAGAACGGGCTAGACACGTAGAAACACTCGGTGCTTGCAGACATGCACACGCTTCGGCAAGCCTTCACTCACTCTACTTCCTCGAGGTGGGCCACAGGGCTGTTGAGGTCCGCGGCGCCGTTGAGATCCGTAATCAGCCAGCCTCTTAAAACGGCCCCGGGGACAATGAAGTGATGGCAGCAAACAGGTCTATGCCTACGCAAATCACGATCTCCCAACCAGTTTGTGATGTGCAATTCTCAGTACAACGACAGCTTCGGCGGACAAGCGTCTACCTGAGCTCCTCGCTTGTGTATCATGTCGATCCATGACTCGACGCAATTCCATGTACCACCATGGCACCAGACTCGAACGCTTACTCTCGAACTCGCTGCCTCGCTCCTCATCGAAGCTCGGCCTAAGGCACGGCTTATGGACGAGGGTCCAAGAGTAGCAGGGAGACGTTGAGCGACATGAGTAGTTAGACGGAGGCAGAAATGGATGATGCACCAAGAGTTGGAGCTTCAGTGCTTCAGAGGGCCGTGCCAAAACATCTGGTAATGATAAATGCAATTCAGATCAGTCGCGGAATTTCTTTGTCGTCTCCCTGCGCCGCGGTCCATTCCGCCTGCCAGACCATGACGACCAGAATCGAATTGGCGACTCTTGCAGCAATTGGACGTGAGTACTTCCGGAAAATCTCGGCAGCAGGTCTTGGCACAATCGGGGCTTCAACCCTGCAGAAGCTGCTGAAAACACCGAGAAACCAGAGGAAGTCCCACAAAAACCCTTGCAAGCCCGTCTGGCACAATATTGCCCAAGTCACTTCAAGCCGAAGTCGGTGATCCACTGTCGACTCCTGTCTTCTGTGCTTCGCTCTGGAGCCGGACAGTACATGCAAGTGAAATCTGCATTAAACGCTTGCTCCGCAGTGCTTGGATTTAAATTTGGCTATTCACACGGTGACCTCGAAGCCTCATGCAAGCCCATGAAGCTTGAACTACTTTCTTCGTGATGTCTGCGTGTCTCGTAAAGACTACGTGGTTTCATGAACGATCCTTGTGAGCACGATCGTGTTGTGTCCATCGGGCACATGCAAGTACAGGGAAGAAGCAACAGGGAAATTGCACTCTGGTGCGCACGTTGGCATGTCGGTTGTGATGAACAGCTGAGCCCTTGACCTCATGCAGCTTGATCTCCTGGGTCTCGGCACAGCGCAGTTCCAACACCTCATGTTGCAGATACGGGAACTAGCTGCAGCATCCCTGCACTCTCAGGCCGGGATTTGCTCGAATGAATCTTGTGACAGCCAGCTCGGACATCCAATGCCGAAGCTCTGACATTTTCTAAAATTTCATCAAATCGGATTAAGGAGACACGGATTTCAGTTAAGGCGACGTACCTGCTCGCAAGTGAGGACGAAGTCCGCACAAACAGTGCCGCCTGGCAGGGGTGCAAGGGTCTTTGTCTGAAGCGGTCCTGTGGCTTTGATGACAACTTAGATCTGGTTACAAACTCTGTACTAGACTCTGAAGCCAGGGCGGCATGTCCAAATTTGTTGTTCTTCCGTTTTACATTACATCGCGCTACAATGCAAGGCGTGGCCTAAATTTTCCCATTTATCACACAGAGAGCATAAAGACAGGTGACACGGCTTACTCGCCGATTGAACTCCTCTACGCTTCTTGATCCTAGCTAAAAACATACTGCCGAAGGAGCAATTGATGCACTGCTTTGACTTCGTTGACGGAGTCGCGACAGAAAGCTTGAACGAGTTCGCTGAATTCCTAGATTTCCTTCAATTTTAATTGCCATAAGCCAGTCATTTTTTGCTGCGTGCGAGTCTATACAGTCCTTAATATTCCTGACCTGAATTTCTTTCGAGTCTCAGCCGCATCCCCAAGCAGCCTTCGAGCGCAGCCTGGGCCACTTCCCATGGACCAGCAGGAGTCGGTTCTTTCGAAACCTGTCCAGAGGAAGATGCACGATGCCGCGATGCTCAAAAGAAGAGCTCTTCGAACAGCCATGGAGACCCCAAGCAGCCCACGAAGACATAGGCGGGCAAACTTCATGTGCGGATTCAGTGTGATGCCAACATGGACTTTGGTAGGCACTATGTATGTCAAGTGGTCACAATGTAACTCATTCTTCAGCCCAGCATCCACGTAGTGGCCAGAGACCTGCTTGCGATACAGGCCAGTTGTGCGGCTGCCTCAGGGCTGTGCAACAAAAGCCAATGTCACGGGCAAGAAGTTCCAAAATGTACATGACTTCTGCCTACCTGAGCAATGCTGTAATGCAGATGAGAAACATGATGAATGCAATTTTGTAGTTGCTGTTGATTTGAGTTTACCGTGTCTGTTGCTGTAGATGCTGCTGTAGCTTCGAAGTCCGGGAGCAGAAGTCAAACAAAGACTTAGGGTTCTTGTGCGCTCCAAGATCCTGCATCATCACAGCCATGCTGGGTTAAAGGTGTACTTGTCGGAAGACCCCCGGAGGCTGAAGGCCTTTCTTTGGAAGGTTTCTTCCCCATCCAACACTTCCAGCTCTCATGAGATTTTCCGTTAGCCAGCTCGGCCCTTGCTGGAAACTGGTGTGTGGCGTGCAGCTGTACGCTGCTTCTGGCTCTTAGCGTTATCATAATGAACCCTGTTGTGGCCTGTCGAACGACGCATGCCATAGATGAGGAGGAAGTTCCGCAAATCGACTGAAGAGACGCGCAGATTCCAAGCCAGCTCCTTACTTGCAAAGGAAACCGGAGCAGCCCCAACAAACAAAAGAACGAGCAGCAGCAATCCAACATATCGCTCTTGCCGGGTGGCAAGCTTCGCTTCGTCCAGTCCAGACATCGCCTCGCTGAAAATCTCCCGAAGCTTCGCCTGCTCGAAAAGAACTCAGGGACGCTGAGGCGAGGCTACGTGCATCTGCAATTCAGTCTGTGGACAGTGCTTCTTCAGAAGCACTGAAGCCATGTAGAATGATCAACAAGCCTATCAGCCTGCTGAACACGATGATATGAAGCTAACACTGGTGACTTCGCGCCTCGACCATTGGGCTTTGGGCCGCATTCCGGCTCTCACTCAGATGCCTCATGTATAGCACGTGGGCTGCGAGACAACACGGAGGTTGCAGTCAACAAGCCACGCCTTATGGCTGCTTCTGCCCCTTGTGTGGCATCACCTCACCATCCAGGCTTTCAGGAGAAGCTCGCGGCACCAAAGCTTAGACTGCGTCATCCAACACAGCCGTGAGCTAGCCTTTCAGTGGCATTGCCTGCAAATGCGGAGAGTGCTGCTCACAGCAAGGCTATGGGTAGGAAGGTGCCCAGGGCATTGCACCAACAGTAGCTGTAGCATTCCGTGGTCCACATGTCTTAGCCGCACGGGATTCTGATTCTTCAGCACCATGCAAAATTCACTTAGCACATGAATAAAGCCGAGACTCTCTGCCAGTAGTTCCGCGGGAATCCGACTGCCTGGCAGCCAAAACGAAGGGTATGGAAAAAGCCGGCAGAAGTCAGGACAAGCGACAAGACCCCGAACGAACGGCATGTCGCAGTATTCACGCATGACTGCGATATGGCCAACTGACAGTCCACAAGTGCTGCAGGCCATACAGGCATAAACCACCCACCTGCAAAAGCCACGTGGATAGCCATTTCTGCACACTCTCGCTGACTGCTTCTCGAAATGGTGGCCTTGCGTTCCAAGAGGAATTCAGTTAAGTTGCGCAGCTGCCAACCACACTTGAGGGCCAGGGGCATGGAGAACGAAAGCTCGGTCTTGTTTTACAGAGGGACTCAACGGCTACACACACGCAAACGAGGAGAGACATGGCTGCACTGCACAAACACTTCNNGATATATCAATTTAGCCCCCCCCCTCCCCCCCGCTCAGGAAACCAGAGATTCGCATGAACCTCTCAATTTCACCTCCCCCCCCCCGTGACAAAACACAGGCTTTCGTATGAACCGTTCAATTTAGCCCCCCCCCCCCTAAATTGATATTCGCGGCAGTCATGATGCAACCGATATTCCTTCGCAATGTACACGCCTTGCTCTCACGAGCTTTCCTGGCTTTGTCACGCTTGTCAACGTCCTGCCCTTAACGAGACATGCAATTTCATGCTCATGCATCTTCACAGTGCTGCGCAAGTCTGTTAATGCCTGCAAAGGCAGGCGAAACCTTCCCAGCACATCCAGACATGTATCTCGCGTTCTGTTTGCAGTGCTGCAGCTGCATTTCCAATTGTCAAGGCACGTTGGCGAAGGCGCCCTGGAACGCAAGGCTGTCAGTAGCGGTTGTAGTGTTCGTGGCAGAGCGACCTGGAGCACCAGTCAGTGACTGTTTGCAAGGCCCACAACTTCGGCCTTGGCCTGGTTACAGCATCTTCGGAACGCGAAGCTGATGTTTAAGCAACAGCTGCAACAACAGTGAAATCAATCATTGCACAGGCCTTAGCAGTAGCTGCCTGCATGCCGCTGCTCACGGGGCCACGGTGCTGGCCAAACTAACGGTCCCGAAACGTCTTGTGGCCCCGAAACTCTGGATGTGGGTGGAGTAGCTGCAGCAGTTGCAAGTTTGGCCAAGCTGAGAGTTCAACGGACGTGCGGCATACTCAAGGATCTTTAGAAGCTGTCATGCAACTCTGTTTTGCCACAGGGTTGAGTGTTTTGTGCTCGTCCCAACGTAACATGTCTGCTTCCAAACAAGTCAACCGACGGCTTGGAGCCAGTGAAAGGATGTACGACAGCGCAAACAACAAGCAAACGCAGGGTTAATCATGCTTGAGAGCCAGTCTTGCCCCTTGCCATGCTCATGCGGTCAACGTCATGCATGTATATATGTATATAGAGTACTAAATATAACGATTCGAGATGCATTCTGTAAACGCGTACAATACGTACATGATGTACACAAGCACCTCGAGTTGGTACACACCAGTTGCACAGCGATCTCATCCACGGCTTCTCGTTCTCAATGTTGCAGTCAGCTGAGCTTTGGGCAATGATGTCCACCACTCGCTGGTTTCCGAACTTTTCGGGCCTAAAGGGTCAACCTAGAGGATCCATTAGATCACCCGCACCTCTCTCTCTCACACCGAGCTCCAGTTCACGGTGGGAAGCCTGCCGAGGCTGAGACGGAATCTGCACCGGCCTCTTGACCCACTCCTCACCTCGCTGGCTGGAAGTCTGAAGTGCACAGAAAGAGCGCCTTCGGGTTGAGCTATCGCCAAGCTCCCTGCACGAGTCGCCCAATGCTAGGCAGCCACTCGACCTGCAATTCAAGGAAGGGCCCTCTGCAAAGCGAAGTATTTCACTCAAGACTGCTGGAGTGCGGAAAGCTGGCTGAAGGCACCATGCCAACCGCGTCTGACACTGCCAACTGCAGGTGACAGTATGTCACGAGCAGATAACTGCTATCCAGTATTTGCCCCTGGCATGGATTGCTGATTCGATTGGGATATCTAAGCTAGCAAAGGCGAACCTAGGCACGGCAGCTGCTGAGTCTGAGTTCAGCGCTTGCGCCCCCAGCTGTAGAGCGAGCCGTCCATCGATAGAGCGAAGGAGCAGCTGCCAGCAGATGGAACAAACATTTCTTCGAAAACGCTCCGATGCAGTCGAGTGGAGGACTGCCTATACTCGATTTCTCGACTGATTCGCACGTCTGCCTGTTCGACGATTCCTGCAGACACCGACCACGGCCAGAGTCGAAACCGACAAGTTTGGATCCCAAGGGCTCAGCTAGAGCTCGCTGCCAATTCTTCGCCTCGACGATGACGACCGTGTGTTGACCCGAACGATGAGCTACGCAAGAGTCTTTTGCTGAAGATTGAGCACATGGACACTTGTTTGATGACTGGCAAGACATGAGGAAATGTTTTTCCCACACGCCCAGCTGACTATGTCGCACAGCAGGGAGTAACGTTGGACTGTTGAGCTGAAGTGGGGAGTCAAGGCCCGACGTATTCTCCGAACCAGAAAGGCCACACACACGTGTCAACCAATAAACAAACGGAGCTTACGCCGGCGTCGAATCTCCTCTGTCTTGCAGCACACTGAATGAAGACAATGCCCCTCTAGCCCGAACGTATGAAGATATGTAAGAAGTGCGATGTAGCAGCCGGACAAGCCGCATTCGGCATCCTTCACCTTGCGTGCTTCGCAGAGCTTAGCATGCAGTGGGGCACGCACTGCAATGCCCCCCAATGTAGAGCCCCTTGTAAGACCGAGCTGCCCTGCCTCTCGCCGGCCGCTACCTTCCAGATGCCCTTGAGGCCTTCCTGAGCCCAGAGGCCGGCCTACACGACTGTGACCTTTCGAAAGTCATCGGGCCTGGTAACGGCTCGGCAATGTGATAGCCGTAGGCTCAAAGTGGTGACGGTCCCCCCACCTGAGACTACATTTGACTAGATCGCGAACGCATGCTAAAACCGCAGGCAGCACTGGCCCATGACCGGCCTGCAGATTGCTACATCATCATTGTCAATCGTTGTCCCCCAACTTACAGTGGCAAGTAAATCTCTCGCTCGGTTGTGCGCTCGTAAATGGCACCCGCGCTGGTCACTGCCACGATGTGGTGGTCACCACAGGCCTAGTCCAGCACGAGAAAGTTTCACGGCTGGTAAAGCAATCGTTGCAGAAGTCACGTTCTGCCATGCAAGCGGCAGCAGGGGAAGGTTGGGCAGAACGAGCAAAACTTCCCTATCTGAGCTCTGTCTGTAAGGCTGCCGCGAAGTCTCGCAGAGCATGGCCCTCCATGGGCATGTTCCGCAACTGTCGAGCAGCACGTTCGGTCACAAGCAAAATGTCTGACCCGCAAGCACGATCAGGTACTTATGCAGCATTCGCAGCTGCTGGAATGTGTTAAGGCCTTCAGGCCGGAACCCTATGTTGTGAGATGTTGTGATCATGTGCCACTGTCACCCATGCCCAACACGTTGATTTTTCGATTGGCACAGACAGGCAAGCGGGCTGACCGACAAACAGACATACGGACGGAACGACCCAGAGACACAAAAAACACAAACACAGACACACACACACACATCCATCCTTTCTGAAGCTGCTTCGTTTTCGAAGCCATGGGTCATGGCATACGGTAGTGCACACATGTGGCGTGCATGAAACAGGTTACAGTAACGGTAACGGCTCGAATCGAGAATGTCAATGCATGAGGCTGCAGGTAACAATAACGGGGAAAGTGTCGCCGCAGTGTACTGCTGAGTTCCACTTGCCTTGCTAGCCTTTGCATGGAGTATTGAATCGAGCTGCTTCGTGGATTATAGATCTTCTCCTTCTTTCGAGAAATACCAAACTACCAAAGTACCGTCCTCTGAGGCTCTGGCCAGGAAGGGATAATGCATGCAGAAGTCCGGCTTGTGCATCACTTCGACACCTAGTGTGCAGCATCAGCATGGTCTTGCGACTAGGCAGGAACCAGACCGGGACAGCGATGCACAGCTGCAACAGGTCCTGAGGGGGGCGGGGCTGTGCATGTTGTTGACTGATGATCGGAGTCATAGCACCTGGATTTAGACAGATTTGGCCGAAACCCAGTATCGCACATCGAATGGCAGGAATGGGCATTGGGCATCATTGCGCCATGATTTGCCGTGTGTGCATCGATTGCAGGTGCAGCCTATGGATGCTTGCAGGGGGAACTGCGGCCATAGCTGTGTGGTGTCCTGTGTGGCGTCCTGGCTTTTTTTGCGATGGAAACCCTGTAAGGCTACAGCCCATGCCCAGCTGGCCGTAGTCGTTGCGGCCCCAGACCTGAAGGAGGCGGGCTCACAGAAAGTTGATGCAGGCATCTGACTCTAATTCCGTGTCGAGTCTCAGGTCACCACCCAGATTTCTCCGTGTGCAGACATTGCAGCGGAGAACTCCCTTCCTGCATCTACCTCCGCAAGCTGCAAGTGCCAACACGCACCGTATTTCCTTTACTTACTATATTATACTTGGCTGCAGAGTCGTCTTGCCCTGGCCATCTTCTATTGATCAATCACATCCGGGAAAGAAACAGAGTTTAATTGCTTCAACTTGCCCAAAGGAACATCCTTACGATGATTGTCGCATCATTTCACGAAACTTCATCTCGACCGGTAATTCATCCAATGTTTCGATTTCACTCGAACGGGTGCCCGCCTTGACAATCACAGGCTCCTGGCTCACATGAGCTGTGCTGACTGCGAGTCACGGGCTCTGCCAGCTTGCCCCTTCGAAGGGCACACTGCACACTCAGAACCTGGCTTCGCAGGCAACTACTACAAAGACTTCAACATCTTCAACATGGTGCGGATCACTGACTTCAGCACAAGAAGCACGAACAAGATGGATGCTCCTCACCCGGATTGAGAATGGAGTCCGTGGTCTTCCTGAAGTATTCAACCTTGTTACAGCCATGACTGAAGTGACATCAGAAGCATCATACGTCCTGAACTGAACCCGTCGCAGTGCGCCAACGTGACTGTGCCTGACTGGACCTAGAAGTGCCCGCAAGCCTCATGGAAATCCAACTCGTCACTCCAGGAAGCTATCCCGCCGCGACCTGTCGTTCGGCTGTGGAAGGTAGCGAAAGTGGGTGCAGCTGACAGGCTGGGTCTGACACCCAGACGGCCGAAGCTGCCCTGGCCCGTGGAGTGGACTCGGCCCTGCGTTTGCATCGAGGCTCAACGGTGGCTTGGGCCTCTCTTGCTCTGCTTGACTCTTGTGCATTATCACGGGATTCTGAATCTGGCTGGGTTGTGTTCATCAAACTTTGCTGGTGTGGCCTTCCTTGCCATTGCGATCTATTGGCACCTTCGGGCCGTCTGCGTGCTGATTCTGATCTTTGTCGGGACGTCATGATACGAGCAGCATTTTGAGAACCATACGATCATCTTCTAAATTATTACATTTGCAAATGCCTCTCTGTCCAACACCAGGGTGTGGATGTCGCCGCAGGCCACCTTTTAGAGCTGTGTGCACAAGCAGAGATGCAAGCAGTCTACAAAGCTTTGGTTTCACGTCCTCGGTCAGTGTCCACACCTGCTCAAGTTTCCACGCGAGGGTGCCTTTTTCATCGCACCATTTCGCCAAGACAACGAAACCACTATACCCGAGAAGGTGATGGCCAGGAGCCTGCACCGGGAGGAAAAATGCTACGCAGTCGCTCAGAGTCGGCCGAAGCAAAGCGCAGCCAAGCACCTGCCAGGCAAAAAGAGACAGGATCGACCGAGTCTGAGGCTGGACTCAAGCTACAATCACATTTGCAAATGGCCAGGAGTTCGGGGAACTGGAATCGATTTGAGTCGATGGCCCTGCCTCTGTTTAGGACTTCACCACCACCACCAGTACGAACTGACCATCGTCTTCTGGAAGGTGGGCAGGGCGTTTACCGTGTTCCACCAGGAATGAAGTTTCGTGAGGTCCTTGCAGCATTCGGGAGAAGTGAGTCCACAGGCTGTTGCAATAACTGCTCCATGTAAAGGCTTTTGGTTGTAGGTGCTGGGCTGCTGCAAAGCATGATGCTAATGCTAGATTCATGCTGGTTCTTGCAATCCCGGACTAGCTCTTCAGTTTTGGCCTTGATTTAGTATGATTTCGTCAGATGCGCCAAGGTCCTTCGGAACCGTCCCATCTTCAAAAAGCCGCTGAAGCCTGCAGTAGCAGCAGGAGCAGGCATTAGTTTGTGTTCAGGCGGCTGTGGTAGGCGTTATCGTGGCCATTTAGCATGCAAAGGGACAGGATTGGAAGACTGTCAGCCGCAACATCAGCATGGTGCGAGTCAGAACCACAAATTTCAAGACACCTGGTGACGGCGACTGGTGACCACGAAGCAAAGATGCAAAGACGAGACGGCCATCGCAGCATGTATTGCTACCAGATAAATGCAATAGTTGAATGCAGTGGCTCAGTGTCACCGGCGCCAGCAATCGGACATCAGCTGGCACCAATGGAAACACAAATGACTATGCTCAGAAAATGTGACAGCAGCAACTTGCATAACCTCATGGCCAGAAAAAAGGTCACAAGGACAGCCATAGCAAAAGCAAGGCTGCAACGTCGCAGTCATCGACACAGCGGTGGTGGCAGCAACGCCTACTGCAACTGAATTTGGCATTTCCGTAGTCGGGCGCCTATTGCTTGCGAAACACTGTGTGGATTGCCGGAGCACGCGCCAGAGCGAGCAAGGCCGCATTCCCCGTGTACAGAACTGTTGTCAACCCTCCGGGTTTTTCTCCTCAAGTTTTTACAACCACGCTGGGGCTGTCTTCATGTCTCCGGCAAAGGTACATGGGCGCTGCAGATATGTCGGCCACCGTGACCTCGTCACCGGCCATGAAAGGGCCGGCCTGAGTGGTGCGCTCGGACTACCTCTGTGTGCCTCAAAATCCCAGCAGGTCTGGTGAAGCATGCAGTTCCCTTTGTCCGGCAACATCTGAGACGACGGCAACCAGTTTATCCAAAGCTTGAAGAACCTGCGGATTCAAGGACGCCGACATGTCGACTGCCGTCAACATCGTCAACTTACTGCTTCAAAAGCTACTGTACGTGGCGGTGAGTGCGGCGTGCTAAGAAGCGAAACAGTTCTTACTGAAGCGAAGCGGCTACATGTGTGCTGGGAGATAGCTGACCGCAGCTCCGGAGGAATTCCCCGCCGCCAAGTTGAAAGTACTGGTCGGCGGCTTTTTCTCTCAAGGTTCCGACAGTCTCGGGCCCGTGAGCTGAGCATCTTTGGGAAATCTCGCGACTTTGGGAGCTGCTTATTGACGAATTTCGGTAGAATCCTGAAAGCTGCCAATTCACGCGGTACAGTAGAAGACTTCTTCGCCAAGGTGTAGCGATAGCTCAAACCAAATCTGCCTAATATGAAACGGCCATGATGCGGGTCCGTAAACACAGCTCTTCTTCTCGGGCCATTGCCACAAGACTTCCGTGGGTGCCGCCGCAGTTTCTATCTACACGAACCTCTATCGACATGATGGGCCTATGCGCTATATGACTCGACATAGTGGTCCATGGCGCTGAAGCAACGACTTCAGCTACATGATCCCGAAGCTGAAATAGAATCATCATGCGACGTTGATGCTGGATGCTGATAGCTTTCATAGCTTGCAACCTGTCAATCTAGATGTCTACTTAGGTTTCTTCGGCGCAACATGCAGCCAAAGATCTGGACCCAAGTCTGCTTGCTGCCCGAACATTTTCGCCTCAGCACCACACGTAAAACTGCAGGAATGCTGGCCAACGCATGCTGCCATAACGGAGCATAGCACCAGGCAGCTGGGCCTGGTTCGATGTTGCAGGTTTGTGTTAGTATCCTTTCCACGGACCGCGACACCTGTTTGCCAGCAGGCAGAAGGCGTTGATTGATCAGCCGTCGGATTTCCAGTGCATCCTCGGCAAAGGTGAGGACGCTCCAAAGAAATGGCTCGGAGAAAGTTGCCGCACAGCCAGCATTTTATGGTAGGAGAGAGAAGCTAACCGAAATAAATTACTCGGTTATCTGCCACAAGTGCCGGAAAGGCAACATGACTATGCGAGAAGTGAGCCGGTGCAGCTTCCTTTTCAGTGCATGCAGATGAGTTGCCCAGCTTGCTCGTTCGCCTCAGACACTTTCGTCAAGCAGCAGGCTTGGAAGGAAGGCAAGGCATGATGACCGAGATGTGTCTGATTGAACTCTGAGGCTGGAGCTGAGGGCTTTTGCAGACTTTTGGGCAATAGCCTTTGGAACAGCTGAATTTGGGCCAGGGATTACGCCTTTCTCTGACGGGCCGACAGCCAACACAAGCCATGTTGCATCGACGATATCTTCTGACTCCACCTCGCCAGTGCATATACATTGTCAGGTCTAAACCATGAGACACAACGCAACTGCAGCTGCACATCCTGACGGCTCACGCTCGCAAATCACGAAGCAACCGAGCTGCGGTCACTTTGCCAGATGGGTCTACCAGGACCGGTACAAGGCCTTTGGGGTTCAAGTCGTACACGAGTCTTGCCCCTGCCACGCGATCATGTGGCACCGGGAAAATCAAGAGCACAACTTGCAGAACACACCCTACAACCTACACGTTTCTGTTTTCTGTTGTGAAGCCCCCTACTGGCTATCCGAATCGGCCCACCCGCCGTTCGGAATTTGGGTTCAAAGCAGTTAGCACACAAAAATGAGGCTCTTACAGTGAAAGGTGTCAATTAGTGTGCGTGAGTGCCCATTTTGGGCTCATGTCCCATCACCAGGCCTCAACAGGGGACGCGCACTCTAACTTGCAACACGTGTCTTTGTTTCGCCATCGAGATGCTTGAACCTCGCCAATTATTTTCTCCATCCTCGCCAATTATTCGGGGAAAGCAAATGGATCGCAGTGTCCTGATGGTCTCTTGGGGTCTTGTGGTGGTTTCCCCGAAGTCGCATAGGGTGGTCGTCCTGTAGTGGTTGGGTCCCTTGGCCTTTTCGTGGATCCGGGGATTCGCGCAGGGTGTGCACGGGGTGTGTTTGGCAGGCTCCGTGGGGTCTCGTGGTGTCTCTACCTTTGTTGCATGCGGGAAAACTTTCTGAATCCCCGGATGATTTTAGGAACCATGCTACTCTCGCAGACCAAACACATCCACGCACCGAAGGGAGCAGTATCCCGAGGAGTAGTCGTCGTGGCGGTGGTGGTAGTAGTAGTAGTAGTCGTAGTAGTGGTAGTGGTAGTGGTAGTGGTACTGGAAGCGGTAGTGGATAAGTGACTCAGCAGTGGTAACATTGATAGCGAAAGTACCAGTAAGCGAGTAGTGAGCAAGATGGACGGCAACACGAGACATCAGCGGTACCAACCTCAACAACAATGATCACCACAGGAGACCATTGTTCATGACAAGTGGTACGCAACGATCAGGCAGTAGGAGTAGGTCGGCAGGTATCGGCCAGGCAACGAAGTGGAACGTCACTGTCTAAGCCTGCATGCACATCATAGTTATGGTGATGGTACCTGTAGAACTACGAACTAGACAGATTTGGCAATGGAAG